GCTTGAGAGTGTCTTTTGATATTGAATAAGGCAGTCCCCTCCCCTGGCATTTTTCCTCATGTTTTTGCAGCTGCCATTGCATACTTACTTTTCATATTTGGTATAAACTTGCTAGCTCCATGAATAGTCTGACACCGTGTTTATTAGTATTGTAGTATGTGGTGGATTGATTCACTTAGGAAGAACAGGTGTCTTTATGATGTCGACTCATTTTGACCAAAACCAAGGGATGTTTTCCCATTTGTTCAAATACAATTTTGGGTGTCTTAAGAGGTTATTAAAGTTTTCTTCATATATGTATTTCATACTTACTGCTAAGTTTATTTATAAGCACTTTAGCTCCTTTAATGTTTTTGTAAATGGGTTTTTATTCACCATTATGTTCTCTAATTTGATCATTTTTTGTATATGAAGGTCATTGGCATCTGTATGTTAATTTCTTACTGAGTTCTGTATCTGGTTTCTTTTATTTAACATAATGTTTTTGCGATTCATTCATGTTTTTGCATGATCATCAGTTTTTTAAAAATTGTTTTTTAATTTATGTAATAGCATTCCACTGCATGCTTATTCTGCAATTTGTCTATCTATTCTCCAGTTGATAGATATTTGGGCTATTTCCAGCTTTTGATTATCATTAATAAGGCCACTATGAGCATCATGTTACTTTGTGAACGTAACTCATTTCCCTTGGGTAAATTACACTGAGTGGAGTTTCTGGGTCAGAGAGTAGACATATATTTGCTTTTATAAGGAACTGTAGGACAGTATTCCAAAGTGATTGCAATGTTTTACATTGCCGCCAGTTATACGTTCATTTTCACTAATATGCTATGCTGTCAGTCTTTCTGTGTTCTTCCTAGTGTGTATAAAATGGCGTCTTTATGTGACTTTAATTTGTGTGTCCCTGATGACTAATGATGTGGAACAATTTTCTTGTGCATACTGGGCTTCACTCTATTTCCTTTTGAAAAGTACCTGTTCAAATGTTTTGCCCATTAAAGAAAATTAGATTTTTTAAAATTGAGTTGCTTATCTTCTTCTTGCTGATTGGCAGAAGTTCTTGTATATTCTGGATACAATGCTTTGTCAATGTGCTGCACTTTTTTTCTTCATGGCTTGTCTCTTTATTTTGTACTGCTATATAGTACAAAAATAAACCCAATTTATCAAGTTTTTGCTTTAGGGACTAGTGTTTTTGCATCCTATCCAAATCCACCTACCCCTAGGTTTTTCTTATAGAAACTTTGTGGCTCTGTATTTTATATTTAGGTCTATTATATATCTTGGATTTTTTTGTATAAAATAAGATAGGAGTCAAGGTTCATTTTTTCTTTTCTGTACAGCTTACTAGCTATCCCAGTCATGCTGTTTAAGACTTTCTTTTCCCCCATTGGATTGACCTAGTGTCTTGACTGCAGATCAGTTTATCTGTCCTGACAACCAGTGCCATCTTGTCCTGACTACTAGTAGATCATGAAGTCAGTTAGTATAAGTTTTATAAATTCTACAAGTTTGTTCTTCTTTTGAGACAGGGTCTTGCTCTGTCACCCAGACTGTAGTGTAGTGATGTGATTATAGCTCACTGTAGCCTTGAACTTTTGTACTCAAGTGGTCCTTCTACCTTAGCCTCCCAAGTAACTGGGACTACAGGCATGTACCACCAGGCCTGGCTAACTATTTTTTATAGAGATGAGGTCTCACTGTGTTGCCCAGGCTGGTCTCAAATGCCTAACCTCAAGTAATCTTCCCACCTTGGCCTCCCAGAGGGCTAGGATTGCAAGCATGAGCTACCATGCCCAGCCAATTTTGTTCTTCTACAACAACATTTCTTTAACAAGGCTAGGTCTTCTGCAATTCTATATAAATTTTAGAACCAGTTTGTCAGTTTTTACAAAAAGACAAAAAAAAAAAAAAAAACCCTACTGTGATTTTGATTGGTATTGAATTGTATCTATAGATTAATTTAGGAAGACAAGGCATTCTAACTATATTGAGTCAGCCTAGGAACATTGCATGTCTCTTCTTTTATTTAGATCTTTTCTTAGCAATATTTCATAGTTTTCAATATACAGATCTTTCATGTGTTTTATTAGATTTATTCTTGAATATTTTGTGCTTTTTTATGTGGGTCATATCTTTTTGTGGGAAGGTTTTTATTAGAAATTTAATTTGTTTAATAGGCATTATGCTATTTATATTTTCTAGTTCTTCTTGTATCCCTTTTGTTAATTTGCATATTTCAGGGAATTTCCCCATTTCATTTAAATTGTGTAATAAATGGTATTCAAATATTTTCTTATTATTCTTTTAATATTTGTAGGATTATAATGATGTATCCTCATGGTGTTAGTAATTTTTTTTTCCTTGATGCGTCTTGCTATCAGATTATTGATTTTATTAATTTTTTTCAAAGAGTCAAATTTTACCTCAGGCTCCATGACTAGCCAATTTTGTTCTACTTTAACAAGATTTCTTTTGCAAGGCTAGGTCTTCTGAGTTTCTATACACTAAGTCCCTTACATGCAAACCTCCACTTGCAAACTTTCAAAGATGCAATGTGTGTTCACACGCCCAGCCACGTTTGTCTTGCCCTCTGTCTCCTGTTGGTGGTGATCCTTTAGCTCTACCGTCTCCTACCTCTTTTCCCTCCTCCAGTCCATAACTCATCTTGCCTGTTCACCTGATGCCAGCCCCAGTATGCCAGCTGTTGTGCTGTGCCGTACTGCTGTACTTTTCAAGGTACTATACTGTAAGATTATAAATGTTTTCTTTTTTGGTGTTTGTTTTTTATGTATTTGTGTGAAAAGTATTATACACCTATTGCAGTACAATCCTAGACAGCTGGTTGTGTTAGTTGGGTATCTAAGCTAACTTTGTTGGACTTACGAACATGCTCTCAGAATGGAACTCATTGGCATGTAGGGGACTTACTGAATGAATTTTAGGATAAGCTTGCCAATGTCTATAAAATGATTTTTGATGGATGTTTGACTATTATTTTTACTTTGTTTCCCTCCTGCTTACATTCTATTTAATTGGCTCTTTCGTTTCTTGAGGAGAGATTATATGCTTTGTATCTTTTGTAGCAATGACTTTAAACTCATTGGGATTTGATATTGACTGTTCTGTGCATGTATAATTTTCAGTTCATCAGTTTTTGTGACTTCATTATGATGCAGTCTTAGGTTTGTATAGTTATACTTGTTCTTACTGTTTTCCATCATTTTTTTATAATGTGGAGGGGTTTGGATTTCAGTGACCACAATTATCCTTGGCTGCCTAGAAATCTCCAATGCTAGTGTTTTAAAAGTTCTTAGAAATTAATATTTCTAAACCCTAGTAGAAAACTTAGCATGACATACATGGCAGTTTACCAAAGATATACAGGTTACCAGTGAATGTATGAAATGTAATCAGAGAAATGAAAACTATAATGGTAAAATAGTGTATCTGGTTTCAAGTAGGCAAAGATTCTGAGAAAAGAAAAAAGGGGGAAAGTACCCAGCATGATCTAAATTTAAGGGAAATATGATATTTTGTTGATAGGCACAAACTTAGTAGAGTCTCTAAATATCTGTGTTTCAAAGATACAAATTGAAAGAAACATTTATAATTTCAGTGTCCAGGTGCCTCAACCCTCTCACCTTTTCTACACTGGCCGAAAGAAACCATAACTATTCTTACTTTAGAGGGGTGATGTGAGATTGAGCAAGAAATTCCACTTAGTGCACCAATGCTCTCCAATGTCTGCTCAGTGTTGGCTACCATCATCATTATGGTAATGATGGTGATAAGGCTGGATGGGTAGATACATGGATGGATGGATGGATGGATGGGTGGATGGAATGCTCACTAATCATGGGATCGAGTGGCTGTGGTCTCTCATGCATCTTCACTAATGATGATTCTGGGAGGCTACTGGAATATGGAGTTGTAGGGCTTGCTTTTCAGATAAAGGAAGACTTCATGTCAAGTTCAATGCAGTCACATGTCTTGCTTTTCTCCAGTTTCCACCCTCCAAAAATCCCACAATAATTACAGATATAACTAAGGTTTAACAATCATAAAAATGTTATGAATAACATACACTAATGAATTTTAAGTCAAGATGAAATGGATGCATTTCTATAAAATATTTAAGATGCTATAGTTGGTGTAAGAAAAAATTAAAAACTTGAATATACTAACTCCTAAATAAAGTGACATGATGTTAGAATCTCTCTCCCGTTTCACACACAATCTCCCCAAAATGTTCCCAAATTAGATGGTCTTCAAGGTGAAGTGAATCAGACTCTCCAGGGGGAATACATCGTTTTCATCATAAATAGATCCAGAAAACCAAAGAAGAGGGTCTTAGCAGCTGTGTATGCTTGACACCAAAATAAGGAGAGAAGCCAGAGGCCAGTTTTAAACCTAATGAATAACTCCCAAGTGAACTTAATTAATTCTAACAGCATTTAAAAATTCATAAATAAGATAGGGCTTACCCCATAATTCTAAGAATGCCTCACCTCAGAAAACCAATCAACTAGGAAACCAAAGTTAAAATTTGTGATTATTTCAGTACATATAGAAAGAGCACTTTATGGAGTTCAATATTTTCATGATAAAGATTCTTAGAAAAGGCAAGAAGTATCCCAAAGTAGTGTGTGGAAGAAGGTCTGAGCAGAAAGGTCTGCACGGAGGCTCCTGCTTCATTCCACGACCTGATGGTGTCTCGCTCTCGTGCCAGAATGAAGCTTATCATTGGTAAAACAACATTTTATGCTTCTTAGGAAAAGGAGAGTGCACATCCTTAGCCTTATACACTATGGCCAACCTCCCATGTCACGAGTTAACTAGGAGCCTGTTACACAACGGTGATCAATACATGGAAAGTCTGCCTTTCTGAAGGTTATGAGTATGGACTAGAGAGGGGAAGGGTTGAAACTTTAAATTAAACAGAGCCTGAGCTATTTCATTTTGGGTGGGCCAACTCAACCTTTTGTTTTTTCTAGTCTCTCAATGGCTTTGCTCTGGTCGTGAGTGCAGAAGGGATGATATTCTATGCATCGGCCACGATTGTGGACTATCTGGGCTTCCACCAGGTAAGTGAGGCCAGAACAGCCTTTCAGTCTATTAAGTGTTGGGTTCTGTTTCCTTCATACTTGTTGATTTTCTTCAATATTTAAAAGTATCAGAAATGATGGCTGGCACGGTGGCTCAAGCCTATGATCCCAGCACTTTGGGAGGCCAAGGTGAAAGGATTGCCTGAGCTCACGAGTTCGAGACCAGCCTGAGCAACTTGGTGAGACCTCATCTCTACAATAAATAAAAAAATTAGCTGGGCATGGTGGCGCATGCCTGTTGTTCCAGCTACTTGGAAGGCTGAGGTGAAG